TACTATGATTTCACCAATTAAATCTCTCTTAATAGCTAGATATCCATATAATCAAAAGATCAGCCCCCACATCTATATCAATCTAATGATTTTTATTTGGTATTTGTAATGTGCCAACCATAACAGTAGGATGAGAATGTGAAAGTTCAGAGAGCCTCTGGAATGAAACTAATGAGAAAAGTTACCTGTACTTGCTTTTCCAATTCTTTCCCTCCCATTCTCTCCAAGAACCCTCCAACCTGGCCTTGGTCCCCAAGACAGCGCCTAAACCACTCGTATAAGAGTCCACAATGCCTTTCATGTTGCCGATTCCACTGACCAATCTTCATCTCGTTTTCTCTTTCTACATTTGAAGAAACTGACCACTCTGGCTTCCTGAATGAACTTATCTCACTTGGCTTCAAAATCCCAATCCTTTCTCTCTTGCTTGCTCCTCCACATCTGTCTGATTTAATGTTGGAGCCCCAAGAGTTTAGTTCTTGGTCATCTCCTCCACATCTGCATCATTCCCTTGGTGATCCCTTCCAATTCCACTGCATGCTGTCCACTCCCAAATTTTCATTTCTATCCCAGTTCTTTCTGGCATTTCCAACTGCCCTGGCTCACCAATGGACATCTTCACTGGGATAGATAATGGAGATCAAAATTAAGTCCATATCTGAATCCAGATCTTTTCTGCATACCTGTTCCACCATCTTCCCAATCTCCGTTGATACTAAGTCCATCTTTCCAGTTGCTCAGGACAAAAGCCATGACTCCTCTCAAAACCCACCGCCCACCTACTGGCTCTGTGTTCATAGCACACCTCCCATCGGGCTACTTCTCAGCAGCCCCACTTCTCCCACTCAGAATCACTATCTTTCCTTTCCTGCATTACCCAGAGAGTTTCCTAGGTGGTCTCCTAGATTCCATCTATTTTCTGCACTTTCTATTTTCTGCACATCAGCAAGAGAGACCTCATAAAATTAGGAGTCAGACCTCTGCAGATCCTGCTGTAGGTCCCTATCTCACTCAGTAAAAGCCAAAGTCTCCTGGTCCCCAACCCTTACTTTACCCCACACCTTACCACTCTGGCCTCATCCTCTTTCCCATCCCCTCCCCCTCTAGTCCCACCAACCTTCATGAATGCTCCCCTCTTCCTGGAAGGCTCTCCACAGATGTCCACATATCTTACTCCTTTTCCAAGTCTTTTCTCAAACATCACTCCTTCTTGAAGCTTACCCTGCCCGATTTATTATATTCTGGAAAAGTCCACCCCTTGCTCCTGGCATACCCCATATTCCTTGCCTTGTTCTGCCCTGATTTAAATCTGTACATCTAATCAGACTCTGTGATTCAGACAGACTCTATACTTCACCCATTGTGTTTGGTTTTCGTGGTCTGTCTTCCCCTAGAGGCAGGGATTCGTGAGTGCTGTGTTCACTGTTGTGCCATGTGGGCTTAGAATAGTGCATGGCACCTACTAGGTGCTCAATAAATATTTATTGAATGAATGTATTTGTGAAGTTCAGAATTCAGACTCACATTGACCTCTCTCCCAAGAGTGCTCTGTAGTGTCCGTTCCAGGAGAAGCAGAGGACGATACAGTAGGACGGCAGGAACAAGTGTGTTCGATATTTTCCTCCTGTGCCTTTCTCCTTATAGCTCCCCACTCCCCTGCCTCCGGCATGTCTCCTCGGTTCCCCATGCCCACATGACTGCTGTGGTCAGGGTGTGTGTCAAAACTGTGGGCCCTAGTACCAACCCCCACCCCAAATTGGCTTCCAGAGAATCATTACTTAGGAAACAAGGAGGGAATTTCCCCCATTCCTGAGACTCCCCTTGACATACTTCTCATCTCCACTTTGGGCAAGAGCTCCTCACAACACCTTGGAGATCCACCTTGACATACTTCTGGACTTCAAAACTTGACTCACAGTCAGCCACTTATTCCCAAGAAGACTTACCTTGGCCAAGGAGGAAAACCATCATACAAAAACCAACCATTGCCTAAAGAGCTCTGCAGTTAGGAAGTGCTTGACTTTGCCTTTCTTTATTTAAGAGAGAAATCTCTGGCTTCATTTTTGCTATTAATGAATATGCAAAGAGGATGCATCTTGGTCAAGGCCACAGAAACCCCAGCTGGACCTTGACTGTCTTGCCTCCTGCAAATAAGAACCTGGCTCAATTTTGTGACTCCAAATCCATGAGCTCTTGCCATACTGAGAAATTGGTGGAGAAAAGCATCAGGTAAAGGTGGGCAAGCCTGGCCACAGAATCCAGGTTGAATCAGGAAGAGTGAAATCCTGAGCTTCAGGGCACACACACACACCCAGCTGCCAGCTCTGGGGGACGCTCTGAGCCCACAACTGTGGAGGTGGCCTCTGGACCAGCTCTGATGGCAAAAGCCACAGTGGATAGTCTGAATTAAACTTCCACCATGACCTCAGTGCCTGAAGACTTACCTGCTAGTTAGTGTGCTGGGGATCTGAACCTGCCTGGAATCAGCTCCAGGTTTCCATGGAGATTACTTAAACTTTTCATCATCCCTCTTTCAGACCTTGGAGAAGAGCTATGCACTCTGGTTTCCATGACAACCACTTAAAAACGTGTATCTCTGTCTGGCTCTGTTGGAAAAGAACTGCTAGCGATCATGCAAATGAACCGGCTGCTCTCCCCTTTACTTGAAAAAAAAAATAAAAACTAAAATAAAAATAAAGTGACACACCTGCTTAGAAGTTTCAGATCTCTGTTCACAACACGAAGGATGAATGTGTCAAACTGCTGTTTGAGGCAGGTTTGCTGCATCTCTTTGACCTTAAAGTGCTCACCCAGATTCTTTAGCTCATTCTATCATCTCCTATAAATATCTACACTCACCAAATACCATCTCTCCCCTCCACCTGGTGGCTGAAGAGTTGCCAGTTCAAGGCCGTCTACCTTCCTATTGCATGTTCAAGGAGGGGTGGGGGACAGAGCCAGAGTGACAAGCCAGCCTCTCTACACCACTATGGAAAGACACATGCAGAGCAGGGTGGTCACCTCAGTTCACTGTCCACGGATTGTCCAGAAGTGGCCCAGAGCTCAGATTACATCTTCAAATGGTGAGGAAATTACGTATCTCGTCATTGGGAAAATGATCCCATGTTCTCTAGTGGAACTCCTTCAGTGGAGGGCAGCCACTCTCAACATCAGGGCTTTGGGCCACTCAAAAGGACAGAGCTCAGGAGAAGTCCAAAGGTGAGGAGTGCCCCTCCCGCTTCCTGGACGTGTCTCTGAACTCCACTGCAGGACGAGCCCCTAAAACAAGGGGTCCAAGAGGCAGCAGTGGGTTGTAGTCAGCTCTTTTTGCTGCTGTGACTTAAAAAACTGACAAGAATAATTAGAGGAGGATCCGTTTACTTGGGGGCTCACAGTTTCAGAGGACTCAGTCCCTAAACAGCCAGCTGCAGTCCTCGGGACTCAAGGTGAGGCAGAACAACATGGTGGAAGAGTGTGGCCGAGGGAAGCAGCTCACACGATGATCAGGAAGCAGAGAGGGAGACTCCACTGGCCAGATATGAAATATGTTCCCCAGAGGCACTCACCCAGGGACCCAGCTCCTCCAGCCACAGCCTACGCGCCTTCAGCCACCACTCAGTTAATCCCTATCAGCAAACTAATGCACTGATTGGGACTCTCATAACCCAATCATTTCTCCTCAAAACCTTCTTGCATTGTCTCACACTTGAGCTTTGGGGGAAACCTCACACCCAAATCATAACAAGTGGGCTAAGGGAGCCACCAACAAGCAGACTATTTAAAACATGTTTGGAAACTGATACTGACATACTAAATCGTGGAAATTTCCAAGAAAAATGAAGATTTCCCACTTCTCTTGAAAGGTTATAAAGTCTTTTGTTGTTGTTGTTAATTTGTGTGTGTGTGTGTGTGTGTGTGTGTGTGTGTGTGTGTTTGTGTATGTGGTCCTGAGGATCAAACCCAGAGCCTTGCAAGTGCTACATCCACAGCCCCCCAAAATTATAAGGCCCATGTTAGAGTTCTACAGGACAAAGTTCTAGTGAATAGAGCATCACGTGATCTTGCAGATGAAGCATGCACTTGCCTGAGTGGAACTTATTTGAATTGCAAATTCCTCTCTCTAATTCTGGGAAAAGAGTTGGACTCATAACTTGGGATAACAGGCAGAGATCTCAAACAAAACTATCCTTCAACTCATAGATGAGGTCATGAGCAACAAAAGGAAGTTCTTACTTGGGGGATAGGAAGTGGAAGCTGAAGACAATTCTTTGTCCTTCCTCCAAGGTCCCTTGGACATGGTTGTGGTTGGTGATCAGGGTAAGCCAGGCGGTAGGGATGGGAGAGGCTCTGGTGAATGTATCGAGGATTTCTTTCATTGATTTTCTGGTGAAACCCATGTCTGAAACCTACCAGAGGACCACTAATTGCTACTAAATGATGTGACCATTATGATTCTATTGTTCAGTGGATTCATAAACTGTTGTAAGTATTTGGCTGAAAATATCTGTCAATTGTAGACAAAATTTTCTGGTTGATTTTAGAACTGATAGGTCAACTGGATGAGTCCCAATGTCAGAGTCAGTGCTGAATTTGAGGCTTGTTCCATTTCCTCCATGACAAGTCTCTTAACTTCTCCATATACATTTTGTCACCCATAAGACGGAGGTAAATGTGCTTGAATCAGTGAGTTTGTGTTCGGATCAAATAAGATCCTTGTTGATGCTGGGTTTCCTCCAAATAGGATGGCCTTCATGCTACCTCTGTTCCCAGGTGACTTTTCTTGTCTCTGTTTAGAAAAGGAGGGGGGAAATCTTACTTTTCTCACACACACCGCTTTTCTTCTTCAGACTATCTGTAGTTAACACCTGGAGGTGGAGGAAGAAGAAAATACCAGTTGTTGTTGAAAATGAATCAGGGACCTTTAGTGATCAGCAACCCTGTCGGGAAATTGACTGATCTTATTAAGAAACTGTGTTTTGCTTTTCTGTGAATATTTTCAGGGTGCACAGTGGGAACAACAAATGTCAAGCAAAAGATGAAAGAGATAAGGAACGTTAGGAAAGATGTCAAGACAAGAAAAGGCCACGCATCCCTTGCTCTGCCCCAGAGGCGAGCAGAATATGATCAAACAGTTTTTCGTATCCATAAAGGAGTGAAGGCATTCTTCTTCTGCCGGAGAAAGAACTTACTGCTGACAGGTGGCCTGGATCAAATCATTCGAGTCTGGAATCCTCATCTGCCTGGGTAAGTTGTCTTTCTCCCATCAAGAGGGCCATCGGTGTAGGAAGATAATTGGAAGCAGGACTGGGGATTCCCTACTAGAATGACTTAAGAACCTCTGACCAAAATTAATACCCCTTACACACCATCTGGGAAACTTCTGTCTGTAGCCTGTAAAGGGATTATTTATGGAGTTCATTACAAGTCGTTTAAAAATGTAAATACCTTACAAGGACAGAGAGACTGTGTGGAGCTACCGTTCACCTGCATCTCAGCAGGTCCCTTTAATCACATTGCTGCCTGCCCTACCATGAACCCCTCACCCTCTTGGTCACAGAGAGCTATTAGGGATTTTGATGTGTCATGGATGTTTTTAGTGCACCTTTCTCAGCCCCCAAGTGTACACTCAGTTCTCCACAGAGGTTGTTTAGCCCTGTCAGAATTAATGGCTCTACAGAATTAATGGTAATACCCCTCAGGCACAGCAGAATTGACATGAAAGGCAAGTATAATTGACATAAGAAATGAGAATTGTTCTGGGAAGCCTGGAATTTGGGTAGCGGGGTACTGAACAGTGTGACCACTGAAGGTACATTCCCATCTCCTCCTCAGTGGTGATCATTACACTCTAGAATCAGATACACACCTTTCATGGTAGACCCTATGGAACAAATGCTCAAGGAACACTTTCCTGATAACAAAAAAAGACCATTTTATTGAGCACCTACTCTGTACTGGGTACCATACAGCACAGACGGCCTCTCTGATCCTCACATTAAGCCCATTTACAAATGAAGAAACTGGAGCCCAGAGAAATTAAGTGACTTCTTGCAAGTAATGGCAGAACAGAGGATCAAAGTCAGTTTGTCATTCCCACTGAGAGGAGTTGAAGACGGAGACTGGGAGATGGGGAGCTGGTTCTCCTGTGCTGGGCAGTGGAGATTCAGGGATGAGCACAAGTCACGTGGGACATGCCAGGATTCCGGGTCTAGCCAATCTCCCAGGCATCGTCAGGGATCCGCGCAGGTGACCCTGTGCCTTTCAGTCATGCAGAAGCACCCAAGTTGGTGCCAAGCAGCGGTTGAGCACGTGGCTCAGCTGGTGCCTCACTTCCTGGCCAAGCCACGCTGACCAAGAGCTACAGCTGCCATTTCCTCGTCTACAGTGGTGATCACTAAAGGACCCACCTCCTGGAACAATAAGGAAAATCAAAAAAAATGAGATAATCCACACAAGACCCTCAGCACAGTGTCAGAGACATAACAAAGAAAAATCATTTTCCATCCACTTCTGTTACCTTAGGTTCCCATTTGTCTGGTAATTGAGAACAAGTTGCTTCCTGTCTTGGTTATGTAAATACATGGGCTCTCCCTCCTGAACCCCAGTCCTGCCTCTCTCCTCCCCACCTCCTCACCCTCTCACGGGACCCAGCCCTGAGATCCTCCAAGGGCACTGTGATCCCTCCTATTACAAAGCCCTTCCACCCAGGTTTTAATGCTGTTCACCCCAGCCTTCAGAAAGCCACCACCTGCCACGGAATCCGTTCCAACCCCACCTTGGACAGTTCCTGGCGGGTTCTTTTTATAGTGTTACTGTGAACAGAGGGAGAAATGAGGCCCAGGGCTTCATCTCACCGCGAATCCTGTCACTCTCACTGGGTATTATCTGCTTCAGTCCTTTTATCTCACAAGATATGTACTTGTGCAATTTCAGAGGGAAACATAACCCTCTTCCAGGCTGAATAGAACTGCCAGATCTGGGCCAAGTTTAGTTTTGCATTTTTATTTAGAAATAGCAGACAGAACTGCTTTGTGTTCATCTGTTCTGTTTTCATTCTAGAAAACCCACAGGTCTGCTGAGAAGCCACACGGCTCCGGTGATCTACATCCACTTATCTTCGGAGGATAACAAAATATTCTCTGTGTCGACGGACAACACGGTCAAGGTCTTTCCCTTTCTGTGTTCTGTTGCATGTCTCCTCTAAGCCAGGTTCAGCAGAGGGGTGATTTTTTTTTTCATGGTTACCTTGCCCTCTTTGACGGCCTGAGGGGCCTCTGCCTGGGTAAGCGCTCACATGGTGCTTATATGTGTGAGTCTGCCCTGGCGAGGGAGGTTATGCCAGCAATTGAAGGCTCAGGGAGGCCTGGTGTTCAGTGTCGGGGTGAGTAGACCTTCCAGAATTTAGGCCCCTGCTTGCACACTTCAAATATTCTGTGTCCCGAGTATTCCGAGTGTTTAGAGGATGGACGAGGGGAGCTGGGAATGGAACAGGAACCTTAGGGATACAGCAGCCCCTTGCCACAATGGTTGTCTCTTTTTTTTAATACACACAGGGCAAGTGGACCCATTCCAAAAAGTCACCTCTAAGCCTTACAATGGTAACATTGCTGCTTCATTTTGCTTGCCTGCACATCTCTCTTTATACCAAAGGTCCTGTTGACCTCTAAAGTTTGGTTATTGTACAGCCTTTGTCACGTACTCTTTGTATATATATATATACAAAAGAAGTCTCACTGATTTTCTCTGCTCATCATTTCCTTTGCTCATTAAGTGAATAGGACAAGTTTTCATGATCTTTCTACCTTCTCTACCGGGCTGTCCTGGGGCCAGAGGGAGAGAATTTGGAGTGAATCTGTGGAATGTGGAAGGAAACCAATGTCACTGCTTTGTGTGGATATATAAGCCAGCTTGCTGACCACTCGTAGCATAAGTGATTGATGGGTACCATGGATTGAATTGTGGCTCCTTCAAAAATTCATCTATTTAAATCCCAACCCTCAGTGCCTAGAATGTGACTACATTTAGGTTCAGGGCCTTTAAAAATTTTTAATCGAACACAAAGGAGCCGTGTGGCTTCTTAGCAGACCTGTGGGTTTTCTAGAATGAAAACAGAACAGATGAACACAAAGCAGTTCTGTCTGCTATTTCTAAATAAAAATGCAAAACTAAACTTGGCCCAATTTAATTAAAATTTAATTAAAAATTTTTAATTGCCTTCCCCATGGGGGAAAAAGAAGGTGGGAGCCACCTAGGACATGAGATTGAAGCAAAAATGGAGTAGCACGGGGGGCGGGGGTTTGAAGGGCCACACAGTCCTGGGTAAGGGCTTTGGCTCATAAGGTAAAACTATGAATAATTTCAATGTCAACAAATTAGGTAACCTAGATGAAATGTGCACATTTCTAGAAAGAGCCAAGCTATAGTAACTGGATTAAGAAGAAAAAATCAGAATATACCTATAACATGTAAAGAGATGGAGTTATAAAATAATAAAAATTTACTCAAAGAACAGTTAGGCTCAGATGGAAACACTGGTGAATTCTGCCAAACGCTTTGGAGAATTAGCATACCAATCCTTCACAAACTTCCAAGAGAGAGAAAGGAGAAGACTTCCCAACTGACTCTAGGAGTCCAGTCCATCACCTGATGCCAGACTCAGGTAAGTACATTCCAAGAAAATTCTAAGCCAGTATCTTTGGCGAATATGAATGCAAAAGTCCTCATCAAAATGCCAGCAAACTGAATCCAGCAACATATCAAAATACTTCTATCATAGGACCAAGTAGGATTTATCCCAGGAAGGCCAGAGTTGTTCAATACATGAAAATCAATGTAATAAACCATATCAGCACATCAAAGGGCAAGATATGACATCTCAATGAATGCAGAATTCAAAATGCAAAATTTATGCTCCCAAATCTACAAAATACTTTGGAAAGAAATTACAAAGAAGACATAAATACATGAAAAGGCATTCTGCTTTTAAAGATGGGAAGATTTAATCTAGTTAAGATGGCAATGCTTTGCAAATCAATGAACATATTCAATGTATTTTTTTTAATCAAAACCTCAGGTGCCTTTTTTTCCCCCAGAAATTGGTTCAATACTAAGATTCATATGGGAATGCAAGAAACTCAGAATAGCCAAAACAAACTTGAAGAAGAAGAAAATTGAAGAACTCACATTTCCCAACTTTAAAACTAATTACAAAATGATAGTGAATAACACAGTGTGGAGATGGTATGAAGTAGATGTATAGCAATAGGGAGTTAAGAAATAATTGGGAATCAAGAAATAAACCCTCATCTCTACGGTCATTTGACTTTCAACAAAAATGTGAAGACCACTCAATGGGAAAAGAATAATCTCTTCAGTAAATTTGCTGGGTCAGCTGGTTATCCACATTAAAAAAAAAAAAAAAAAGAACAAGATAAAGTTGGATTCCTGCCTCTTACCATATGTAAAAACGAGCTTAAATGGATCATAGATCTGACTATAAGTGCAAAACCATAAAACTCCGAGTGAAACATATGAGTAAATCTTCATGATGTTGGATCGGGAATGATTTCTTGGATATGACAAGAAACAAAAAGAAAAAACATTAGACTTCATCAAAATTAGAAACATCAGTGCTTAAAAGGCATACCATTAATAAAAAGAATAGACAACCTACATAAATGCGGAAAATATTGTGAGTCACATATCTGATGGGGAACTTGCATCTAGGATATAAAGAACTCTTAATGCTCAGCCATATAAAAAATAACCCAATTAAAAATGGACAAAGGATTTGAATGAACATTTCTTCAAAAGTAGGCATAAGTAGATGACGAGATGCTCAACCTCATTAGCCATAGGATTCATTAGCCATGAGGAAGGCTAAAATCAAAATATAGACAATAACAAATGTTGATAAGAATGAGAAGAAATTTCAAACCTTACACGTTGCTAGTAGGAATTTTGAATTATTTTGAAAAACATTTTGGCAGTTCCCACATGTTAATCATTGAGTGACCATGTAACCCGCAATTCTAGTCCCAGGGTTATACCCCTGAGAATTGAAAACATGTTCACACTAATATTTGTATTTGAATCCTCATAGCAGCATTGTTTATGATAGCCAAGAAGAAGAAATATAATGCATGTCCATCACCTGGTGAATGAGTAAACAAAATGTGGAACATCTATACATTGGCCAAGTGTAACAACCACAAAAAAAAAAAAAATACTGATACGTGTTACAACATGGGTGAACCTTGAAGATGTGTTAAGCCAAAGCAAGCCATAAAAAGCCTTCTATTATATTATTACATTTATATGAAATGTCTAGAAGACGCCAAGACATAGTGACAGAAAGAAGTTTACTAGTTGGCAGAGGCTGGAATGAGGTACGAATAGGGGTGACTGGTAATGGATGAGGAGGGTGGTAAAAATGCTTAAAAATTAGGTAGTGGTGATGCTCGCACAACTCTGTGAATACACTGAAGACGACTGAACAGCACACCTTAACAACGTGTTGTGATATGTCAATTCTATCTCAATAAGGCCATTTTTTGAAGAGTAGAGCAAGAGTCAAGATCAACAGCAAGGCTTGGGGTCTGAGCCAAAAATTGAGACAGGGATTATGGTGGGCGAGAGAGACAGGAGACCGGGAGCTCAATTGTGGATGTGTTGGATAGAGTCGTCCTGTGTCTAGGGAAGATGTCAGGGCCAGAGATATAAATTTGGGAGTCATTAGCATTTAGATGGAATTTGAAGCCATGAATCGGAACTGAGATCACAAGGGAATGAGAGTCAACAGAGGAGGAAAAATCTCTCTAAAGACCAAGTGCTGGGGCCCTGTGATGTGCTAGGATTTTCCACTGGTGGGGGGGGGGTGTCCAATATGGCTCCTGTATAGGGAGCTTGGAATCCATCTCATGATGATGATGAGATATTCTAAATAAAACCAGCTGTCAAGATCATAGTCAGCGACATTCAGGGCCCAAACTCAATTCAGTCTTCTGAGCAAACTTGATTAAAATGGTAAGATTTATGAACTTTGGCTTTTGATTTATTTTGAAAAAATCAAATTAATCCAAAGGCATCATCCAGAGTCACAAAGTTGGGAGGCTTCATATTTTTAATGAGCTTTTTTTTTTATATTTCCCCCCAAACTTACGGCCCTCAGATAATCATAATTCTGTATGTGGGGACACGTCTTCTATCCTATTTTCTTTTCCTAGTGCTTCTCCATTTTCTTCCAATCTAAACTCATGATTACAAGATTAGCATCTTGCCTGTGATGATTCAGGCATATTGAATCACTTCCCAATGTGTATTTAAAATATATTGAAATCCTATCTTGGAAATATGGTGTGTAAGTTATTTCAGAATATATTATTCCTATCAAATAAAAACTAATCAAGTAAGAGCCAAACAGCTAGATTTCTAGCATGCCTGATCAGATAGTCCTCATTCTTTGAATTGATTTTTCAACCCAAATATTTTACTCCTTTAAATCATGGGGACACACAAGACATTTGAGGAATCTGCTGGTTTCTGGCACTCTGTAAACGAGAATAAAGTGACAGATTCAGATTTTCCTTTTCACTTGTTGTTTTCTGTAGTTCTAACATTGAAAATCACAAAGAGGGCTGTTTTGAGTCGACTGGAATTAGGATGGAAAGTTATTTCTCAAAAAGAAATTAGCATGGTGTATTACTTAGCATAAGCAGGATGGAATAAATCAATGCCTTATTTTCTACAGGTTAAAACAACAGAAGTTTGTTTCTGCAGCAAACTGTGGCCAATGGTCCTGGTGAGTGGGTGCTTTTTCTCCCACTCAAGGGACAGGCTCCCTCTAGCTGGTGGCCCCACCCTGACTTAAGTTCTCAGGACTCTTCATCCCCATGCCAGGGGTGTAAGAACAGAGAAGGCACACCTTCTTCTAGATCCCAGCCAGAAATGACACACATCACCTCTCCCAGTCCATGACCACCCTTGGATGAATGGGAGACTGGGAAATGCCTTAATTTGGAAACCATCTTCCAGCAATAACTCCACCTGTGGATAAAGAACTATGGATTTAGGGGATGGAGGGTGGAAAGCTTTGGAGACATGCAACTTTTGAGTTTAAAGTATGAACCTAGCACAAACCATGTTACTGTGGGTGAATGATTGGATCCTTCTGAACTCAGCAACTGAATTTTGAACATTAGCTTATTCTTCTCCAAAATGGGAGGAAGATCCACCTTGTAGGGTGGTCAGGCTCATGAAAAGCAATGCAGAAATCGTACTCGCCAAAGAGTAGCTTTACCAGGTAAGACTCTGTTGAGCCTGAGAGACACATCTAATGCAAATAAGTTAAGCTTTTAAGGAAGAATTCGATGGTTGTTGAACTCAGATTATTGGACAGACAGCCTCTTGCAAAGAGGTTGATATTCTATGATATTCTATGCCTGTGCTTCTCACTTCTGCTCTTGGTACACCTTGACCTCATTGGCTCCTATTGCAGAATCTTTTCTCCCTTCAAATGGTAAGGAACAGAGATGCCCATAATCTAAAATTTACATTCAGACTCCAGTTTTACTACCAGGCCCATCCAGGAAAATCAGACGGAATGACACAAATTGGCCAGAGGTGAGTGCCATGTCTCTTGCCTGCAGTCATAGAGGCCAATCTCTGGACAGGAAGATGCTAGACAGACACCAAGCAAGTCAGTGATAGCCAGCTTGTGGTAGCTATTTTTATCCTCTGGGGATTTGATGCCAATTTGGTAGGTCAACCTCAACTTCAGTTTGAAGAGTTTATCTCTACTTTTCCCTTCTTAGACCTTAGCAGGCAACCTTGTGCATCATCCCACCTGAATAACTGTTCCTGAACACCAGAATTATCTATGTGCTCCTTCCCATCGTCAAAATCTCTTCTTCCGTAAATTTATGTGTTAGTGTATTTTCTGTTGCCATAATAAAATACTTGATATTAGATAATTTATAAAGCATAGAGGTTTTCCTATCTCATGCTTGTGAGGTTAGAAAGCCCAAGAACATGGCACTTGCATCTGATAAAGGCCTTCTTGCTGCACAACATGGTGGAGGGTATCATATAGTGAGACAGAGCAAGCATGCTAACGTGGGTCTCTCTCTCTCATTAGGAAGTCACTAATGCTTTATAAGAACCTCATGATCATGCCTAATCCTAATTACCTCCCAAGTCGTACCTCCAAGTACCATTAACATACTAATTTAGGGATTAAGTTTGGAACACAAATTTTGGGAGAAGCATTCAAACCCCAGCTACTGATGTCATGAGGTGAGAAGAAATCATCAGATAAGTGGGTTCCCATGGAGACGTAAATGACTGATAACAGCTGCACATCTTACCTTTCTATCAAGGAAAATGAGCATCTTCAACCAACCAACCAAAGTTACAGAAAGGAGAGAGGATGCCCCTTGAACGAGCTGGCCCTCGGGGAGACCTTTTCTGTGGGACCGTTTGATCTTGGTCGCCATTGTGGCTCCATGCTGACCCTTTAGGGGACACAGCTCCCCACTTTTATGCCAGATGAAAAGACAGGCTGGAACTTTGATAATCCGTTTGCTAATTAACTGCTGGGAGAACCAATGGGAAGAAAGCACAGAGTGTAAATGCAGCAGTGTAGACTCTGGTGGAGGAGGTCAAGGCTTAAACTGCATCATAGCTGACTGGCTTCCTGGAACTGCGTGGAGAAGCCCCGTCCAAGCACATCCCACCCTCTCTCAACCTTGGGTGTCTCTATGCTGCTCTGAAGGCCGATGGGCCTGCGGGTGATTTCTGGTTTAGCTATTTATTAGTTCTATAAATTCCGGAGAGTTCTTTAACTTCCCTGGGACTCAACAGCTGACCTTTGCCTCCCAGAGTGGGCTTATGAGAGCATGCATTTACTAGAGCTGGAGTTTGGACCCTAAGTGTCCAGCCACAGTTCATGTGTTAAATTCCTGTTCCCAGAATGCCATAGGAGGAGGGGGAACCTTAAGAGGGGCGTCTCGTGGGAGGTCTTTCATCATTGGAGGGGTGTGCCCGTGGAGGGCATTGTGGGAGCCGCCCTCCTCCTTCCTCCCTTTTGTTCCACCACACACTCCTGTGATGATGTGCTGCCTCGCACAGTTCTAAAAACAGCAAGGCCAACCTATGATGGACGAGAACCTTCCAAACTGTGAGCCAGGATACACATTTTCTCTTTAGAAGTTGATTTTCTCAGGTGTCTGTGAGAGTGATGGAACCTAACATGGGTTGACCAACAAGGTATCACAGATTGGGTCACTTAAACACGAGAAATGTCTGGTCTCGAAATGAAGGAGGCTGGAAGTCCAAGATCGAGGTCAATAGGGTTGGTTCCTCCTGGGGGCTGTGGAGAGTTCCAGGACTCCTGTTTGGCTTCTGGCAGCTTGCTGGTAATCTCTGGCGTTCTTTGGCTTAGAGATGCATCTCCCCAATCTCTGCCTTCATCTTTACGTGACTGTCTCCCTCTCTACACTTCCCTCTTCTTACAAAGACACCAGTCATATTGGTTTAGGGGCCCAGCAGGACCTCATCTCAGCTGATTTTATTTACAATGACCCCGTTTCCCAATAAGACTAGTCAAATATAAATTTGGGAGGGACACAATTCAGCCTATATCAGAGTAACTAAGAAAATGCACGTAAAGCAGCCGACAGAACATCAGATGCGTGTTAGCTGACAAATCACCACTGCCTTCATGACAATTGTGATCTTCCCAGTTTTATGCCTGGCCCCTCTGCTCCTCCCCAGCCCCGATGGCTCTCACAGACCTTGCCAGGTCACAGTACATGAAGATAATACAAGAGCCACGGCATGATTTACACACCCACCTTAGTAAATGACAGACGATAACGTTATCATTCTAATCATGTTACACCATTACTGTGTTTAAACCTTGACGGTAAACCTTGTGTCTTTAAAATTTTTTTTTTAATTTCTTGCAACAGCTGTATAAGGGAAGTGCCATCATTATTTTTCCCATTTTGCAGATGAAGAAAAGGAGGGGGAAAAATGGTAGGAACTTGCCCAAGGCCCCATGGCCATTTGGTGGGCTCTGAAACCCCGTGGTGTCCTCAACCCTGAAGTTTGTCCCCTGTGTCTTCCAAGTGTCTGTCCAGTGACTGGTTTTGAGGATCTGCATTAAGAAATAGGGATGAAGACAGTTGTGTAGCACAAAGTGCACTCATGATTTCGGCTCCACTCTGACAGTTGGGTCCCTGGGAAGAGAGGTGACTGGTCATCCCTTGTAGGGGGAATAAATCACAGTCCCCCTCCCCAGGTCACTTCAGCATGGATCAGGAACACGGGCCTCACTCTGCCTCCTGGAGAAGCAACAAAAAAACTTCTCTTTGGTGGGGGGGGGGGCTGGGGTGCGTCTGGGGCGGTGTTTCGAGTTGGTGGGACCAAATCAGACCCCCCAGCAGACAGCAGCTGGGCACACAGCACAGAAGGCGACTCAAGCTCTGTTGCTTATCCCCTTTCCTCCTCAGATCTGGGACCTGGAGACCCACAGCTGCTTGTTTACAGCCTCCTCCAGAGCCAGCGGCATTCAGGGGGGGCTCGCAGCCTGCCTCTATCTCCCGGGTCCCCGAGCTCTGTGCGTGGCTGCAGACACCGTGGCACTCTTACACCTCAGAATGAGGTATGAAGCTGTTCTCTCAACAACAGGCGGTTCCAGAGGGTTCTGCAGAGCCAGCTGTTGTCACCCCCTCTTAGCACTCTGTTGGGTCTCCACGGGGCCTCCCCACTGCGGGCCAGACCTGGGTCTGTAGCTCACAGTGAGTATTTGGTGAGCCCTCTTGAATATTTCCTGTTAATTACTCCAGCACCCCCTTCTCATATCCAGAAGTCTGTGATCTACCTCTTAGGCCTGTCCCACCCACCCTTGTATTAAATTGTTCAAAAATTGATCATACAGGGGCTGCTTATCCAGACCAAAGGCAGCGTCAGCCAAGCAGAGCGAGTCCTGGGGGCGCTGCTCAGCTCACCAGTACTGTGGACTGTGGCCTCCGCTGTGCCCCATATCCCAGGCCCGTAAAGTGGGACAGCCATGCAGGGCAGCACCTGCCCACATGAGACGGATCTGTATGGAGAAGCCCCTGAGTGGGCTTCTCCTGGCCAAGGCCTTGGTGTCCAGGAGTGTTAATGCCTCAGGACGAAAGTCTTTTTGATTCTTCTGCAAACGAGTGCACTTGGTTTCTTTGGCACAGCTTTTGCCAGGACACATTGCCTTGGCAAGGAAGACAGGTGCCTACCTGCCTGCCCTTCCACGCTCATGAAGTCCACTTAGCATTGAAACTGAGTCAGCTCCAGGTGTCTTTTTCTGCCCTTCCTGGGCTGAGATGAGTTTGGAGTTCTGCCTCTAACTCCAACCCTGAAGATGAGCAAGCAGGAAACTAGAGAGGCTTTTCCCCAGGGCACAGGGGAGCCAGGAACAGAGCAGGGACTAGACTTCCAGTCTTTAGGTACCTGGTCTTTTCCCTGCACCTGCCATGCCCACTGACACAATGAAGATCTCTGAGACATCAAAGGGGAGAGGGGCCTTAAGTTTAGACAACAACAACAGCAATCAGACAATTGGAGTCCTACTTCCTGGTTCCTTCCCTTCTCCAGGGCCTGCATAGAAGGCTGCCTTCAGAGGGCCCTAAAAGGCCTTGCAGGCACAGGATAAGTGGCTTCCCTCCTCTCGGGCTCTGCAGGGGAGGAACTCTACCCTGCAGCAGGCAGGGACAGCAGGGTGCAGCACCTGCACTGTGCTTTGGGAGCTGACAGGCCCTCTGCATCCCAAAAGTACAGACATCATGACAGCCAGCTCCTGGAGCTAGTGTGGCCCACTCTTACTCTCCCATTATTCCTCTCTGGCTGCACCAACAAAACATTCCTCATGGGCACTTTCTCCCTCAGTGTTCAGCAATCCTGAGTCCAAAGTCAGTCGTACGTGTAATGCAAGACGAGGATGCAGGAAGAGTAAATATCGTAGTTCGCATATTTCAAATCCTTTCTCTCTCATCAGGGTAACTGAATTTCCTGAGCCCAAAATCATGATGTGTGGCCTCACAAATATTTTTTTTCCTTGACTTGTGAACATAGAGTCTCAAAGACATTCCCTGGACTCAGCGATCGAATCACATGTTCAGAATTCACATTATGGAAAAGTGATCCCTTTTGCACAATTTCAGAACGCCATGCAGAAGGCCAAAATGTGTGTCTCCCGTCTGTGGCCTTCCAAATGTGCTCACTGAGGCGGTGAAGCAAGCTTGCATGGACCAGGAGCGCCCAGGCAGGGCAACTGCCAAGTGATTGTTACCACTGGGCACGGAAGCAATCTCAGGCTCTTCACTCAAGATGCCAAAACAACCAGCCCCAAACGGAAGCTTCAGTCAATCAAACTGCTGTTTGTTCTACATGATAGCACTGTGTAGAACAAACAGCCGGCTTGATTGATTTCTTTTGGAGCGAGTCACTGAAATTCCAATTCGCGGCAAACACAGCCTCCATCTCCAGCGCCAGCACTTAGGAGCCAGACCATGTCCCCCCCACTACCCCCTAGCCCCTTCCCTGCTGTCACTCAGGAGCTGTGTGACCTGGATTGAGTTACTTAGCTTTCATCAGTGAAGTGGGGAGCGTAGCTCTCTCTTCCCAAGGCTGGAAAGGGAAATGAGGCTATCTGCCAGGCCCAGAACTTTCTGTTTGCCCTGGGCTCCCTGTGGACCTCCCTCTTCCTACCTTCACTTCCCAAGCCCAGGGACCCTTCATGGAGAGGTTCTCAACATCCTTGTGCCAAATCCTAGTCTTCCTTGAAGAGGATTTGGGGCATGATGTCTAGGGCTTCAGATCCATGGAAGGCTCAGCAGCAGTGCCTTGGGGCTACACAGCAGAGGGACAATAAAGAGAGATGGCAGAGCAATGGCATGCAGCACAGACATTCTGTATAAGAGCTCTCTGTGTGCCAAGCCCCTCCAGACTCTTCTATCCTCTTACCCCATTTATTTCTCACAAAATTTCCACGAGGGATTCCATTTTGCAAAAGAAGAAATTTGTCCAAAGGGACCAGGGTACTTAAGCCTGGGGGCTCTCTGTTCTTTGTTCTGACCTCCCCAAGGTGGCTCACAGGACAAGGCTCTGAGTGTTCAGGTGTGCCCTTTGTACCTGGTACCCTTGGAGTTGTGCCACGGGGCTTCCCAGGATCTGCCTGGCCTCTTCCCCCTTGTGAGTAAGAAGTGCTGTTTTCTGGGCACAAGGATTTACAAGAGGGATAATCCCTATGTGTTTTGGGGGGGAAAGGTCTGAGTTATTAGTGAAAAAGACCCATTCTGTAGTGCCTCAAAATCACATTTCTCCTGCCCTCAACAGGAGACATGCGCTCTCAGTTTTCCTGTTTAGCAGCTGCTGTGCCTTACTGCTCTCAATTTTATATGTGCCATTTTGTGCTAATGACATTACGTTTTCTCATTGAATCCTCAAAACAACCCTTTAAAGTAGGTGCCGTTATCCTTACTTTACAGATAAGATTGGGATTCTAAGCAATTAAGTGATTTTGACCTAAAAGCGACTTTGTAGCCATTTCTTAATGTGCTCTCCTGGGTACCTGTGTCATGAAAGTGGCCTTAGGTTTTCACTGTCTCTCTTTTACATGAGCAAGATCTGCCCCAGAGCCCCACCTGGCACTTTCCCACCAAGAACCCGTGGTGTGTTGCGGGTACAACTCGGCCTTTAGGCATGTGGTCAGCTGCTCAGAAGCATCTGTAAGTACCACTCCTGCTCTTCTAGGAATAATGTATTTGTGGGTGCGGGCCCGGCCTCTGTGTCTTCCCCTTAGAACTGAACAGTGTGTTCTGGGGATTTTCCATCTCTGTAATAAACAAGGAGAGACTTAACTCTATTCTGCGAATGATCTGGTACCCTCAAGATATTCTCCCAGGAGAGTCAGATGGAGGATCCTGCAGTTTCACCAGTGGCTTGTAGCATGAGCTATTCAGAAGGACCATTCTGGTAATATGGTTTTGTTGAGATTCTCTTCCACAGTGTAAGACAATGACTACCCAACCCCGTATTATCCCCCAATCCGTGTTGGTAAGGACAGACTTCTATGTCCACTTCCCCTCCTAGAGGGTTCCCAAGGACCATACCATCTATATCCTTGATGAGTGGCACAGTATCAGCCCACAGGAAATGGGGACAATCAGTACTCACCGAATAAGGAAAAGACATGCATCCTGTGATTCATCTTCTTATGTCCTTGTGCTAATGGGAGGGTACAGGCACACTCCAATTTCATGCATGATGTTTTTAGTGTTCTGAATCTCCAAATATATCCATGTGTCATTGAATGACAAGATGTGTTCTTAGAAAAGGGGGGATGGCTATTTTATCACAGTGCAAACATATAATTGCCCAAAACTAGGTGGTAGAGCTCCTACACGCCCAGCCTGTGTGGTTTACATTTATATGTGTGTGTATGTGTGTGTGATCCCCTATTTTTTTCCACAAAGATGTGTTCCCTATTTGGTCACAATAAACAAACTTCATACGATTGGATCTATCACAGGAGAAAATGATGCTGTTGAGAGAGGTGGTGAACGCGAGATAATGAGGCTGCCGCAGTGTCATCTGGCACGCTGTTGTACAACAAACGTTTTTTATAAGTAAGAGTACACACCAAAATAACCACCAAATGTGGCACAGTAAATACAGAAGCCAGTAACATAGTCATTTATCATCATCAGAAGCATCACTTTCTGCACATAATTGCATTTTCTATGCTTTTATATGTCTGGTGGCACAGGGGTTGTTATACCTGTGTCACCACAAACATGTGAGTCACGTGTTACCCTAGGACTTTACAACCGCTATGATGTCACTGTGGGAGACAGGAATTTTGCGGCTCCATTACAATCTTATGAGACCTCTGCTGGGCATGCAATGGGGCAGGGGGTTGATGGAAACGTCGTTATGAAGCGCATGACTGTTTTAGTTCAGTTGCTTTTTGAATCAATGACCTGGGTAGCAGTACAGGTGAGTGGCCAAGGCATGTGGCCTCGCCTTCTTTCCTGCTTCCTTCCAGAGCCAGGCCCACCAGTCTTCAGGGATTACGGCCTCAGGTGCATGCCCACGTCACCCCGCAAGTCCACTCCACACTCTGCATTTTCCTCCCCAGAGAGACTCTGTGGACCTCACCCGGGTTTTTGCCCATAGTGATGAGTGATCACTATGATTTTAAGTATCAAAAAACTAAATTACCTGATCTGTGGGTCAGAAAGTGTTTACAATGACTCAGTCTCAATACATCTGAAAGAAGAGGAGTTCCTGCGTATTTGGGGTGCACACCCACCAGGGAGTATTCATCTTGCTTATTTATCAGAACTTCCTGAGACTCCCTGAAGCACCCCATTTTACCTCCTCAGTAGCCTGCTCATCATGTCCAAGCTTTTCTACGTCTACCCCAGGATTTTCCTGCTTTTCCTACACACACCGCAGCCTTCACCCGCTTCCTGACCACCTGTGTTCAGTACCCCCCACGATGGTGCAGGATTGTTTCAGAGAAGAGAGCCTCCTCCTCTTTGGCAAGACAGTGAGGGAGCTTGAGCTCAGGGATCAGAGCCCCTGTGTCTCGTCCTTCTTCAAGGCAAATACCAGCTCCTCTGAGAAAAGTTCTCAATCTCCCCCACCTCACCCTATAGCTTAGGCTTCTAATTCTACAAGAACGCAGGCTGCCTCTTTCAATAACTTTGCTTTTAATAAGCATCCCTCCCCCTGGCAGTAGGTGGTAAGTAGATGTTGAATTGAGATATAAATATGCTTACAGCTATTGTAGTAGACACATGCTGGTAATAAACTCTCCAACGCTGAGTGAATTAAATTACTGATCTCAGTATGTGCGCACCTTGCGGATATGTTGCTGTGTGAAATCCTTGTAATGTCATTATGCCACTGTCACAATCCATAGCATCTAAACCACGTTACACACTTGACATTTATGGAGTAGGGAATATAACCCTAGATCTTCACAGAGCCAGGATTTATGAACATGGTGATACCACATTTTGTCCACTCGTTCATATAAGCAGAAGCACTAAAGACCACCAAATTTTGGTACCTCTGAAAATGTTTGAAAACAGCACAATGAAAATTCATAAATTCAATGCTATGTCATATTACCTTCCAACTACAACTTAACTTATGTATATATAGTTATATATATATAGTTATATATATATATATATATATGATATGGAAGCTTACTTTATAAGAGTTACAGATAAATTGTCATCAACAGACCTTGAAACTATAACTGTTTTAAAATTTAATATGAAATTTTTATTAAGCCATGCATGGTGGTGCTCACCTGTAATCCCAGCAGCCCAAGAGGCTGAGGCAGGAGGATCAAAGCCAGCCTCAGCAACTTAGCAAAACCCTAAGCAACTCACTGAGACCCTGTCTCAAAATATATATATATATATAAAGGGATGTGGGTGTGGCTCAGTGTTTAAGCACCCCTAGGTTCAGTTCTAGTACAAAAAAAATTTTTTTCATTTAATTTTAATTAAGTTTTTAAATAAAAGATTAAAATTTTATATAACTTGGAAAATGGTTGCATTTTACTATGTGTGATTTGATGGTATTTCCAAAAGGAAGAATAACTTGAGTTGATGAGATTCTCAAAGGACCTGCTATGCATGAAATTCTTCTTACAAAGCACAAGTAGGCACACCTGAAAACATGTGACTTTTCTTTAGACTTTTCTTGATTCTATAAATAAAACCCTGAAGTCATTTGGAGGGATATTTCCATTTTTCACTTCAGTCTTTTCACTTTCAGATAGCTTCCTTTGAGGGGCTTTGACAATTTGCTCTCAAAGATGGGTCTGTTTAATCGCAGAATGGGAGTCCAAGAGGTGGATGAAGAAGGAGGGTCCCCCTTGGGTGTGGGTCCTGGGCTTTCTGCTTCATTCTTCCAAGCCAGGCCTCACCACCAGCTGATAGGTAATTCGTTCAAATCTGGTCCCCAGCCATATTACCGAGGAATGCAGGCTGTGGGGCTCTGGTTTATATGCAAATGGTGGACAGCTGAAAAGTGAATCCCAGCTGCACCAAGGGTCTATTGCAATGTTCTGGGGAAGAGATGAATGTACCTGAGTGGCAGGCACCTCTAGGGGCCTCGACCTTGCAGGGGGAAAGAAGCCGAGCGTTGACCACTGGAAATCTGTTCTCAGGCATTTAAAATCATGTGACAATGGAGGACAACGCCTTCTGGCTTCTGGCTTGGAGACCTAGAACTTTCTCTCAAACGAAGGGCAACTTCCTCTTTTACAAAGTAGCAAGTTAGAAGAAATATTCCCTAGTCCTGAGAAAGGATGCACCCCCTTGGGACTTCTGTCCCCTCAATCACATGGTCTGGTAGAGATTTTGCAGAAAATCAGAGGACTCTGGGTGAGTCTCCAGGAAGGCTACCCCAGGGGAAGCCTTCCTGAGGGGCCGTTCACATCAACCAGTCACAAAAGATGCCCCGGGGCTCTCTTGAGGAGGTTGGGGCTGAAGGAAAGTAATTGCAAGACTGAAACTCATCGGACCAAGTAACACAGTAAGTCTCAGGGCTTAGAAGATGTAGCCACCCCCCAAAAAGGTCACTTTCTTGTTCACCTTTGCCCTCATGGTGAATAAATTTTGCCCCTTAAAATTCAATGCACGCCTATATTCTCTGAGCCGGGATGGTTAGAGTTGTAACCTATGCTTTTGAAATCTTCCAAACTTCTCACTGAGATATGGGCTGAACTGCATAACCTCAAGTTCATGTTGAAGTTCTAATCCCAGTCCCTCAGAATGTGACTGTATTTGGAGGAAGGACCTTTATTTTATATTTATCTTTTTATTTTGAACTGAGACATAAAACATAAAACTTTTTATAGGAATATAGCAACATGTGATATTTTAAATTCCTCTCTCTTTAAACATGTATCTTTTTTTTTTTCCTGGTGAAAACACTCAAACTCCTTTCTTCTAGCTTTTGGAAATGTACATCAGATTATTCTTATCTGTAGTCACCCTACTGTGCAATAGCACTCCAGAACTTCTTGCTTCTAACTGAACAACTCAGTACCCCATCCCTCCATTCCCTCTCTTTTCTCCAACCTTGGTACCCACCATTCTACTCTCAACTCCTAGATCTATATTTTTAGATTCCACATACAAATCATGTGGTACTTGTGTTTCAGTGCCTGACTTACTTCACTTAGTATAATGATCTCCAGTTCCATCCATGTTGTCACAAATGATAGAGTTTCATTCCTTTTTATGGCTGAATAGTATCCCATTTTATAGATGTACCACATTTTCTTTATTTATCCATCAATAAATGAACACTTGAGCTGATTCCTTATCTTGGCAATCATGAATAGTGCTGCAGTAAAATGGGAGTCAGAGATCTCTTCAACATACTGATGTCCACTCATATATGCATATACACATATATACATACATATATACATATGTGTATATATAAATAAATAAATATATATATAAACACCTAGTCACCTAGTAGTGGCATTGCCAGATCATTCGGCAGTTCCGGTTTTAATTTTTTAAGGAACATACGTATTGTTTGTCATAATGGGTGTACTGATTTTCATTCCCACCAACAGTATGCAAAGGTTCCCTTTCAGAGATAGGATCTTTCATGAAGTGACAAAAGAAAGCCATCAGGGTGGATCAGTCTGACTAGTATCCTTTTAAGAGGAGACTGGAACCTAGAAAGAGATCAGGTATGTGCATGCACAGAGGAAAGGCTGCATAGGGACACAGCAAGGAGGTGCTTCTTTGAGCCAAGGAGAGAGGCCTCCAGAGAAACCAACCTTGATGGTACCTGGACCTTGAACACACAGCCTCCAGACTGAGACAGTAAATGTCTATTGTAGAAGCCGCCTAGTCTGAGGTGCTTTGTCATGGCAGCCACAGCAAAGGAATACACTGGGGTGAGCCAACTTGGGCTGGAAATACAGATACCTTCAGAGTCAATTTGTATCTTTTATATCTATGATGTTAAACTTCTGAATGCAAATTCCATTCCATTTTGATAGCCATTATCTCTCAGTTACTTCCCCCCCCCCCAATTTTTAAATCCAGATAGTGAAAGTATGGGACTTTGAAACAGGAAGACAGTTGTCTGAATTTTTGGGGGCTCACGGCAATGCTGGGATTACTTGTCTGACCTTTGACTCCAGCGGAAGAAGGTATGTGCCTTCTCCAGTGTTGTTGACCATGGGGCAGGTGACCCCTACCATGTCCTCCTAAGGGACCACTCTGTTTTCTAGGCTAGTGACCGGGGGCAGAGATGGCTGTCTGAAAATATGGAGCTACAACAATGGACACTGTCTACACACCCTGAAACACGGTAAGCGATGCTGGGGTATTCCAAGTGGTCCCCCTAAAATATGGATGCAAGATTAGTTGTAAATGTAAAAGAAATCAAATGAGATCCATCTAGAATTTGTATACCAACCCACACCCTTTTTCTCAGGCATATTACAATACTCGATGACTCGGAACTCATGCTTCATAGGGATGCAACCCCATAAATCAAAATCTAGATTAACAAATTATAGGCAAGTATCTTGTTAGATTTCCTCCTTCCCAAGGCTGCTCACTCCGTCCATTCATTCATTCTGTCTGTTCTTGGCAAAATTCCCCTGCTTCTGGCTTTGAAATTTCCTGCGATGTCGATAAAACGCAAACATTCTTCAACTATCGCTGGAGAATAAATGAAGTCCAAGTAAAAGAGACAAAAAGTGATCAAAGCCATGATACTGAAGCCGCGAGTCTATGTTTTCTAGCCCTGTGGTGACTTCTGCGCATTCACTCATTCGTTCCCCCACTAGGAAGTGCCACATTCTCCTAGGGACCTATCAGGAGAGGCTGGCCCCTTCCCATAGCTGAGCAATGGGCAGAATCAGAATCACAGGACAAGGAGGGCAGCAATAAACCAACAGTGCTTAAACGACTTCAAAGACATTTAACTATGATCTGGAAGCTAGAAAGTCAATGCTAAAATCTCCCCCAGCATCAGTAAGAGGAGGTCAACATAAATCAGCCGATTCAAGAATTGGTCAAGAAAACTCTTCACTATAAAAAAGTATTATTTTCTTTCTAGATGAAAAACAAAGTGAAGTCTGCGATTGTACCTACATGGAGGTGAACCAAAATAAGTGAGTTAAACTCAGCTGTAGTAGGAGAGGGGTTTCTCTTTAGTGGAGTATCATTTTCTGGCTTAAAATTTCGTCCTAGGGGAAGACATCAAAACAGTGCAGGGAATTTTCCAGAAGAAAACATGTCAAAACATTTCTGAGGACTCTGGTTGTCTTTCTGGTGCCAATTTAGGCAATAAGGCTTTTTTCTAGAACATTGGAGCAATTCTCTGCACATTTTGACAACTGTTTAGAAATACAGGTAGAAAGCACAACACCTCCCTACCTAATGCTTTATGAAGGAATAAATCAGAGACTGGAGCAATTAAATTCAACCGTCACAAATCAAAGAACAAAAATTCAATAAAAATTCCCTCCGGAACACTACAAGGTGAAGCAATTTGCGGACAGTTTCCATTCATACCCTTGTCTCCAGGGATCCACTGGGCTCTGGGGGTCAGTTCATCCTCGGGAAGGCAGCTGTGCATGGAGGAGCATTTGTTGATCTCAGAAATGTTGGGATGTCCTGTTTCTATTTCCTGATCCTTCAAGCACCAGTTCAAAGACAGACCCTAATTTATCAAATCACATTTCCTCTTGTTCTCAAAAGAAACAGAAGCGCTTATATTCTTCTTTTAATGATTCTTTTTTATTGGTTCTTTTTAGTTATACATGACAGTGGAATTCATTTTGATATAATTGTACGAGCATGGAATAGATCTTATTCTAATTAGGACCTCATTCTTGTGGCTGTATATGATGGTGGGATTCACCGTGTGCATATTCCTTTATGTATATAGGAAAGTTATGTCAGATTTATTCCCCTCCCTTCCCTTCATTTCCCTTAGTCTAATCGACTAAACTTATCTTCTCCCCGACCCCGCCCATTGTGGGTTAGCATCCACATATCAGCAAGAATATTCAACCTTTGGTTTTGGGGGGATTAGCTTACTTCACTTAGCATGATAGTCTCCAGAGCCATCCATTTACTGTCAAATGTTATAAAGTCATTATTCTTAGTAGCTGAGTAATACTCCATTTTGTGTATATATATCACATTTTCTTTATACATTCACGTACTGACGGGCACCTAGATTGGCTTCAGAGCTTAGTATTGTGAACTGAGCTGCTATAAACATTGATGAGGCTGTGTCACTGGAATATGCTGATTTTAAATCCTTTGGATAAATACTGAAGAATGGGATAGCTGGGCCAAATAAATGGTGGTTCCATGCCTAGTTTTATGAAGAATCTCCCTATTTCTTTTCAGCGTGGTTGCACCAAATTACAGTCCCATCAACAATGTATGAGTGAACCCTTTTCCCCACATCCTCATCAATATTCACTGTTACTTGTACTCTTGATAATTGTCACTCCGACAGGAGTGAGATGGAATCTCAGTGTAGTTTTAATTTGAATTTGTCTAATTGCTAGAGAGGTTGAACATTTTTTTCATATATTTGTGGACCGATTGTGTTTCTTCTTGTGTGAAGTGTTTGTTCAGTTCCTTTGTCCACTTATTGATTGTGTTATTTGGGTTTTTTGCTGTTATGTTTTTGAGTTTTTTGTATACCTGGAGATTAATGCCCTATCTGAGGTGCAGGTGGCAAAGATTTTCTCCATTCTGTATGTAGGCTCTCTTCACACTCTTGATTGTTTCCTTTGCTATGAAGAAAATTTTTAATTTGATGCCATCCCATTTATTGATCTTTTACTTTGCTTCTTGTGCTTTAGGAGTTTTGTTAAGGAAGTCAGTTCCTAAGCTGACATGTTGGAGAATTGGGCCTACATTTTCTTCTAGCAGGTGCACAGTTTCTGGTCTAATGCCTAGGTCTCTGATGCACTTTGAGTTGATTTTTGTGCAAGAGTTAAATTTCCTTCTCTTACATATGGACTTCCAGTTTTCCCAGCACCATTTGTTGAAGAGGCTATCTTTTCTCCAATGAATGTTCATTGAACCTTTATCTAGTATGAGATAAATGTATACTGTGTGTTTGTCTCTGAGTCCTCTATTCTGTTCCACTGGTCTTCAGGCCTCTTCTGGTGCCAATACCATGCTGTTCTTGTTACTGTAGCTCTGTAGTACAATTTAAGGTCTGATATTGTGATGCTTCCTGCTTCAATTTTCTTGCTGAGGATTGCTTTGGCGATTCTGGGTCTCTTATTTTCACAAATGAATTTTATGACTGCTGTTTCTATTTCTATGAAGAATGTCACTGGAATTTTGGTGAGAATTGTGTTGAATCCATACCATGCTTTCAGTAATATGGACATTTTGACAATATTAATTCTGCCTACCCAAGAACATGGGAGGTATTTCCATCTTCCCAGGTCTTCCTCAATTCCCTTTTTTTAGTGTTCCATAGTTTTTATTATAGAAGTCCTTCACCTCTCTATTTTAGATTGATTCTGAATTTCTTTGGGGCTATTGTAAATGGGATAGTTTTCCTAATTTCTCTTTCGGCTGACTCATCATTGATTTAGGGGTGTTCATTTTATATCGTGCTACTTGGCTGAATTCACTTATGAGTTCTAGAAGTTTTCTGGTGGAGTCTTCTAAATATAGAGTCTTTTTGGATCTTCTAAATATAGAGTCATGTCACCGGCAAACAGACCTAGTTTGAGCTAGAAGACCTTATATTCTTGCTGTCTTCATTTATCACATGGATTAAATTAAAGCACAATATTCGTTTCACATCAAACATATAACAGATGGAAATGTGAAATTCTGTTATCGTCCTAGGTGTATCATAGCTGTTGGATGGGACAGAAGAATAAACGTGTATTTTGTAAGTGAAACATACAAAATGATGATATTTCAAAGTCTTCTTCAGATATCTCTCTCTCTCTCTCTCTCTCTTCCTCTTTCTCTCCCTCCTCTCTTCCTCCCTCCCTCTCTCCCTCCCTCCCTCTTTCTCTCCCTCTTCTTTTTCTTTTAAATATAGATTTTGCAGTGCCTTTGCTGTCTTTCACAAGTTGAGTTGTGGCATGGACAGAGGGTTTTCTCTCTTTATTCCTTTTGCTGTATTCTTGCATCTAAAAATATTTTTGCCTTCTTTGTTTCCCAGTCTTTCTCATGTTGCTCCTTCCATGGGCAAAAGCTTAGCTAGAAAACTCGGTTGGGGCTGCAGAGGGTGTCCTGGGAATCCAAATTAGGCTCTGCCCTGAACACCTGCAGTTCTGCACCTTGACCCTCACACCTTGTCCAGCGTCCTCACACCTCATGTGGTCCCTCCTCCCAGTCTGCAGGGTCTCAGCTGCATGCCTGCTATCCTGAATGAAGGTTAACCAGTCTGTCAATTGCTCAGCTTTATTTTCTTCCTCTTCCTCCTTTCCTGTCCTTATGTCCCATTTTTCACTAAATGGAAAGAGGAAATGAAATGCCATCCATAAGCTGCTCTCAGAGAGACCATTCTTTTTTTTTTTTTTTTTTAATGGCTGAGAGGTGGGGGAGGGGCTTACAGACAGGGGGAGTTGAAAGCGCTGACTACAGCGAAGTTTCCAATCTACCTGTGGCATTATATTTGCCCTGCTTGCTACACTGGGTAGTCATAGATTTCTGAATGTCTTTAAACACTCTGAATTCTTTATTCATTTGAAAGTGCACTATATTTCGTGGCCCAAGCCTAGCCTACTCAGAATGATTTGAGAGATGACTACCTGTGAAGTCTTGGCATTGAATTTGTCCTTTGGTATTACAGGTTCCTGGGCTGATGGCTTTGGTTTTAGCGTGTGCAACAGCTCTGGGTTTTATTATGAAGGCGAAGCTAGGCAGCCCATCTGAGGCGAGCTTGTCAGTTGACATATGATTTGCTGAAATGCAATCACCCAGACGTCAGAAGTGGATTGCTTTTTATTCCCACTGGCACTGGGGAAATTTGCTTTGACATTTCAAAAATCTGCATCACCGGTGGGGTGAGGGGTAGGGTTACGAAATGTGCCAACACCTTCTCTCTGGAATTGTGAGTGCGTTGGCAGCTCATTTTATTGCTTGTACAATGTGTCCTCTTCGGCTTTGGATACAGGATGCACCATGTGACTTTCATCACTTCTGGAAGCCACAGCCACGCTGGCAGGATGACCTGATAAGCCTTGATCCCTTGTCTGACCCTCAGTCCTCACAGTGGCACGTGACTTGGGTCTCCTTCATTCTGGGAGCTCTCTTGCTGCATCTCCTGGGACTTCCTTGGGTGGTCACAGCAACCCAGAAGCTTCTGTGATGGCAGGACTCATGATTGGCATCCAGGTGGAGCCAGGAACACTGAGGTCCAGACAGCCACTTCCTCTCCAGGAAGGGTGAAGGCCCCATGTTTATGCTTGGGTGTGAGACCAGAGGGCCAAAGTCCATGCAGCTCTCCATGAGCCCAACTGGGAGTCCTGAAATGTAGGAAGAGCAGCTCAGGATGGGGTGGGCTCCATTTTCCCCAAAGATGCACCCAATCACTTCCTGCCTGTGCTTGGTGGGCCAAACTCTCTGAATCCACTACACTGTCCTTGGATAGCCAGAGAGCCTAGGAGGTGCCAATCCTCCTCCCCGGTGACTTGTTGTGCATCTTACTGGGATTCAAAAGGCCTCCAATTTTCTACACCTTCTCAGGACCAAATGGCCTCCATCAAAATTGTCATTATGCTAAGCCAATAAGACAAGTGCCAAAAAAGCAAGGCCACCTCATCCACATATCTGCCAGTGCCCCACTACCTTAAGTCCCCTGTAAATATTCTAAAGTACAAGGCACTAGAATACAAACTCCAAGGAGAGAGACCTCATCAGTCTTCTCACTATGGTCTTCCCAGGACCTAGCCCAGTGCCTGGCCTGTACTAGTTGCCCTGTAAATATGTGTTCACTCCACCAGTATCTGTTAAGTGCCTCCTGAGGGCCAGGTGTGTGCTGTTCACTGAAGACGCAGTAATGAGCAAACCCAGGCACAGTTACTGCCTTCCTGGAGCTTTGGGATTAGTGAAAATTAAGTTACAATAAAGAGCCTTGCCCAAAATGCCCCAAGGAAGCCATGACCACTGCAAGAGCAAAAGTCACCTGTGAGTAGTGAAGTACGGGTTCATTCCCCCACTCTATGCACTAGCATAGGGTTGCCCCTGGTGGACAGGCCCAGAAGATGCAAATGTGAATCAAAATATGATTTCTGGCCTCAACCATCTCACAGACTGACAAGGAGATAAGCAACTCCTTGGAAATAAGAATGTGCAAGGTAACTGAGGACATAACAATGTATAAGTGTTGAGGGAACACAGATGTGAGAACCACTGACTTTGCTCTCACATCATATGGGGGTATTAAAGAATACTAGGATTTTTCCAGCAGGGCAAGGTAGAGAAAGACTGTGTCAATGAGGGAGAAAGGGAATCATGAGCAAAGCCTGGAAGCACAGAAGTGTGTTGCTTAGAAGGACCGTGGAGAGTCTGCAGGGCGGGTGCATCTGGTACAGGAGGAAAATGGGGCTGAAGAGCTAAATTAGAGCTTGAAAGTTATGCCAAAGTATTCTCTTGGCCTGCTTGGGCTGCCTCAACGAAACGCCAGACTGTGCGGCTGAAACAACAGAAGCGTATTCCTCACCAGCTCTGGAGGCTGAGGTCCACTGTGAGGGGGCCAGCAGGGTTGGGATCCCTAAGAGGTCTCCTCCTGCCTGGCAGACAGCTGCCTTCTCTGTGTGCTCACATGGCAGAGGGGGTGAGCTGCCTGTCTCTTCCTGACACTGAACTCACCATGGGGACCCCATCCTCATGACCCCCCGAAGGCCCTGTCTCCAAACACTATCACTTTGGGGACTAAGGCTTCAACTTACGAATTTGGGAGGAATACAGACGTTCAGTCCACACAGCTATATAAAATGTATTCGGCAGGCAGGGGGCCACGGAAAGAGGAGCCCAGACCTTAGTGGTTTCAAACTGGGAGGAGTGGGGCGGGAGCAGGTATCTGGCTGCAGAGGATCATGGGAAGGCAATGACTACTGGTCTTCTCTTTTCCAACATTTTGCAATGCCACCTTCTCATAAGGGGCAGAAAGGGCATGTTAGGTGATCACAGACAGGTCCTCAAGGGACACTCTGTAGCAAGTACATGAGGGCAAGGGTAAAATAATATCTTCATAGGACCGAGAGGAGCCAATTCCCTTCACGTAGTAGTTGCCCCATAAGGAAAGGGGTGAAATGCTTGTGGCCAGGGACTCTGTACTCATAGCACTGGCCTTCAGACGTCTATTTTGGGTTCTTATCTTTCTTAAGGTTGCACATCCAAGGCTCCTCCTTTTGAAGGGAGCAGATGATTCAATTCCTAACAGAATATGTAAACCACAATGGGGGGTACATGGGAGCCCCAGAGAGACTGAGTCACAGCAAATCCTAGAATGTTGTTCTAGTCAGCTCTTTCACTGCTGTGACTAAAGGACCCGACCAGCACAACGGTATAGGAAGAGAAGTTTATTTAGGGGCTCAAGGTTTCAGAGGTCTCAGTCCACAGACAGCAGACTCCATTCTTCCGGGCTCAAGGTGAAGCTGAACGTCCTGGAGGAAGAGTGTGGTGGAGGGAAGCAGCTCACTTGATGATCAGGAAGCAGAGAGAGAGATCTCCACTTGCCAGATACAAATATATACCCCAAAGCCATGCTCCCAATGTCCCACCTCCTCCAGTTACCACTCAGTTAATCCCACTGGGGGATTAATTCACTGATTGGGTTAAGTCTCTCACAACCGAATCATTTCTTCTCTGAACTTTCTGGCATTGTCTCACACGTGAGCTTTGGGAGACGCCTCATATGCAAGCCATGACAGACTTGCATATGACAAACGTAGACCTCTGGCTGATGGGAAACCAACCACCTAGGCTAGAGCTTGGGTTCTGTTTTCCCATTTCCATCAACATTTCAGCCCCAGTGAGGGCACCTTGTCAATAATCTGCCTTCCAGCAGTGTGGTGAGGGACGAAAGCTCCCAGAAGTAGCACTGTCCTGGGAAAGGTAAGGTCCAAGGAAAGGGTAAAACTCACCTACGGAGAGGCAGCACCTCCCTGGCTGACCTTGAGAAGGATTCCTGCCCAGAGAGCGGGAGGTTCCAGCTGAGTCCTGGCAGCCCCAGAAAGAAGAACCCCCTGTGTCCCATCTCAGGACAGATGAAGGAAAGTTAGCTGTGGATGATTTGGCACTTGATATCTTACTCCTGTCCCTCTCTCTCTCTCTCTCTTTCTCAGAACAATGGGCACAAGGAGGACATCCTCTGTGTGGCTCAATGCCCACCTTTTCTTCTGGCCACCTCCAGTTACGATGGAGAGATTATCATTTGGAATGTCGTCTCAGGCCATGTGTACTGCAAGCTGAACACTCCCAGCCCCTCAGATGACCCAAACCCTAGGGAAGGTAGGTGAAGGGCCAGGCTCTGCCGCCACACTGCATGGCTCCTGCCATGTTCCATCTGGCAGGTTGACGGAGTCCCAATCCTGGACCACCTCCCACTTAGAAGGGATTGGACTCATTTCCAGTTTGCTTGGTCTGATGAGGATTCCCAAAGCTGAAGCTCAAGGGTTGGATTAGCTGAGCTCACATTCCTGGGCACCTGTCCATCGAAGCTCATCTCCCAGCCAGCCCCAACCTCCAGGGTCCTTTCCTCATCCACTGTCAACCTGGAAAATGCCGAGTCCCTTGGGCTTTGTTGGTACATCTCATAATTTTCTTCCTCTGTTTTCTGTGACCACTCACCATGTGCTTCTTCCACCCAGCTGGCCAGCCCAAGACTTCACCCCTGGATGTCTCTTCCAACAGCAAGTCTTCAGGTTTCTATGCTGTCCCCATCGTCAGTCCTTTCTGGTGACCCATGATCCACAACACCCCTACTTGGATCTGTCCTTACTGCTTGCATAGGGTGATACAAAATTTCCCCGCCCTCCCACTCCACTCTTCCTAATTGTTCTGTCCTGGTTCCCTGTCTTCAAATTCTCTCTCTCTCTCTCTCTCTCTCTCTCTCTCTCTCTCTCTCTCTCTCTCGTGATCATGGTTTTTTCCATTCACTTATTTATTCATTCAAAAAATATTGATAAGCACCTGCCAAGGACTAGGCACCGTGCTAAGTGTTGGGGCTTGGGGCTGGCAATCACATCTCTGTCCCTCCAAGTCCTGAACCATTTAAGAAATACACACGGGAAACAATCTCAGGGTTCAGATATCTTCCAGTTTCACTGCTGGATGTGCAGGACTGGAAAGTGGCTGGAGTCCACAGCCAAGTGAGCTTTCTTCCTACTACTCCATCCCACCTCCAGAGTCTAGGCCCACCCTCCCAAAGAAGCAGCCTGAAGACACTCATCTACCCTGGAGCCCCAATAGAAGAGATATAGGGAGTTGGAGATTTTTGCATGAAATAAGAAAGTTTCTACATTTCCTAAGGCCCAAATACCAAATCCTTAAAAACCATGAGGCCCAGATCACGATCCCTTTGCTTTGGGCATTTGTTAAAACAGTAGCCAGAAAAGAAAACAAAAGTCCTAATGAGTCCTTCAATCAGAAAATATCTGAGCTGCTCTCATGGGTCTAATGCTGTGGGAGATGAAAGGTAGGTAGATTTGAGGCCTGTGCTACCCTCAAGGCCTACATTCAGAAAAAGATGTGTGTGTGACGACCAGGTAGAACAGAGGTACTGCCATTCAGGGAGTCTCAGTGCTGCTTGAGAGTCACCTGGAGGGCAAGGGTCAGAAATTGAAGCCACTGGAAACCAAGAGATCAAAAAGGGATTCATACCTGTAGATTTATCTTCAAGTACACATTCCCCCTGCCAAAAAAAAACATTATCCTATGAAACTCTTTCTCAGCATGTCTGAGTTTTCAAGACCTTTATGGGGAGAGTGGTGGTATTTCTTTCCAAAGGTTTATTTCCATTGCCATTAAAATGAAAATAAAGTCATTGGCCAAGAATGCAATGTTGACTTTTCAGCCAGCAGTTGGGAGATAAACCCCCATTTGCAGCAGCATTTTTTTGCTCAAAGTTATGTGACTGTTTGGTGGTTTCAAGAAATCTTCTTCTTCATCATTTTTTTTTTGCCCACAAATGCAAGGCCAGCCATTGCCGCCAATAACTCACATTGTGAAAATTACACAAATGAGATGAGACTAGGTGGAGTCCCATACCCTTCCAGGAAAGAGCAGCCCTGGCTCGTCTTCCGAACCAAAACAAAGTGGTCCTTCTCACAAGGGCCTGGTGAAGAGGTTGCCTTCTGATACGGAAAACCACCTGGAGTGTTCTTCTGAAGCCACCCTCAGGAAAATGGAGAGAAGGGAGAAAGGCAAAGCTGGATGAGCTGAGGACATATTTTTTTCTGCTTTTAGCTTCATTCTTTCTCATAATGGGAATTGTTAATTTTTCTATTACATCAAACAGAAAAAAAAAAGTCGATTGTGAAAGAGAAAGATCAAGAGATACCAACCAGGCGAAAATGAAGGAAATCTGTGTGTTCACTTGGAGACAAAGGCTTTTTTTTTTTTAAATCCAGGAAAACGACGTAAAGCTATTTGTTAGCTACCTCTAGACATCAGTAATTTTGCTTTTAAAATTTTCTCGCATTTAGTGCTCACCTTGACCCTGTTGTACCCATTTTCATAAATGAGGAAACTGAGGCTACAGAGTTAAGTGACAATAGTTGTAACAGCTGCCATTGTTGAGTGACGCTTCCAGGCACTGTAGGGTCATAACCCTTCTCAGCCTTCACTGAAAGGGTATGGAGGACTATTCACATAGGGGCCTCCTTTGGTTCACTGGAAAACCCTGAGGAGTAGGTCACCGCCTTATCGCAGATGAAGACAGCTGAGGTGTAGGAAATGGAATTCTCCCCCAGACCCTGGCTCAGTAGCTCTCCGAGGTCTCTCACCCACTCCCCTGTGCCCGGCAGTAGGATGAGTGTGGGGGGGAAGGGAGGCTGTCTGCTGCATCTTCCCTCTTCTACTTCTTTCCACCTGATTCCCCAAGTTCAAAACTCCCAGGAGCTCAGTAACTGAGGGTGACACCATGCTTAGTCCAAATCACCAGCAGTGTCTTCCAAGCATCAGAGAAGGACTGGAAGCCTAGAGCCTGGCAGGAGCCACACCACCAGGAATGTAGGAAATCCTCCCTCCTCCCTCTGAGAGGACTCAGCTCCCTGAGGACCACCACGAAGTGCATGGTCAAGGGCACCGTCTTTGGAGGCAAAAATCTGGGTTTGAATCTTCTCCCTTATATTAGTAGCTATATAATTGGGGCACATTGTGTTTCTTTCTAAATGGTGGGACTCTCTTGTAAGATCAGAGTTATAACCCCTGCCTGGGATCCTGGTCACGGAAGTTGAGAAAGTGCCTCGCTGGAATTGTGATCGACCTAGAATGAAAGGCTGAGTCAGCTGTGTCCACCATGGTTCCCTGAGTGTACATCCCAGGGCCAAGTTCACAGTCAGGCTGAAACAAGTATTGTTGAATGATTAACAACCTGAGTCACAGAGGTGGGGCATGGAGGCATGGCTTCCTGTATGTAATTGCAATACCCACGGATCTTGCCATTTATAGAATTACTGCCTTAGTCTGTTCAGGCGGCCATCACAGAGTACCATAAACTGAATGGCTTTTAAATAACCAAAATTTATTTCTGATAGTTCTAGAACTTGGAAATCTGAGATCAAGATGGTTGGGTTCTGGGTTCTGGGGAGGGCTGACTTCTTGTGTCCCCACGTGAGGAAAGAGAACAAGGGAGCTCTCTGAGGTCTCTTTATAAAGCACTAATCCATGAATGAGGGCTCCACCTTAATGAGCTCACTCCCTGCTAAAGGTCTCATCTCCTAATACCATTATGTTGAGGATCAGGATTTCAACACATGAATATTGCAGGGACACAAACAGTGCCTAACAGTGGATATGTCCATCCATTTTCCCTCCAGGAGAGCAGTTTGTCTCTGGAGCTCTCTCAGAAAGGAGAGCTCTTTTCCCCAGGCTCCTTAAGTTCAGGTAGCAATCTTCTTTGCAGTTCTTAGAGATTTGGATCTAAGTAGGTTGGTAGGATTTCTATTCAGTTCTGAATATTATCTGAGTTCTATAAGAAGTAAAAGGAGTCAGGTATGGTGGCCCACGACTGTAATCCCAGCGACTTGGGAGTCTGAGAAAGGAGGATCACAAAAGTTCAAGGGCACAGCCTCAGCAACTTAGCAAGGCCCTCCAACTTAGTGAGACCCTGTCTCAAAGTAGAAAAGTGAAAATGGGCTGGGCATGTAACTCAGTGGTAAAGCATCCCTGGGTTAAGTCCTCAGTACCAAAAAAAAAAAAA